GCTATTTAAGCAAAAAAAAAAAAAGGACAAGAAAACGACCCCCGCGCTCCATGGCGGACGCCAAAACGATTGCACAAAGGCACCATTTCAGGGCTGAAATTTCACCGCACCAACGTGATTAAAGGATTCCATGGAGGGTGGGGGGAGAACGCTGAAGGCCACAGTGCTGCAAATTAACCTTTTCTTGGTAAGGATGGCCTGGACCAGGAAGCACTTGCGTTCCTCACAATCGACCCCCTTCCCACACCTGCAAGCGTCTCCACATTCCCTTTGACCTGTCATGTTGCCTAGGGACCCATTCAACTCCTGCATTATCGCCTCCAAAACCAGCCCTTCCCATGCACAACAACAGAGGAAGGATGGACTGGTGCTTTTACAGGGAGCAGTAAGAGAATGACATTCATGGCTGGTTATATGAGCTGAGTTCCCAGGCAGGTGGATAGAAACTCCCTTCGGGACACGGATACTCACGTGCAGACACCGACCACACGTACAGCACAGAGAATGGACGCTTATATATAAGCACAAGCTTTAACACAAACTAGTTGGAAATATTCTTCCTGGACCCGGGTAAAGAGAAAAATGAATGCAAAGCAGAAACCATAGCTGAGGTGCACCTTGCCCCTTCTTCTCTTTGAAAAAAGAAAACAAAAATTCTGAGAGTGCTTTTTACCAAGATAATTGAGGAAGACTCAGCATGTTCTACCCAAAAAGCTCAGATCTTCCTCACGCAGAGCAAGAACCTTGGAGCACACAGATCAAGAAATGAAAACTAAGTAGTGACTGGCTGGAAGCCCTTGCAGATTGTAATGCATCCACCCAACTCTTGACTTGAGCATGTAACCTCCCCACACGTGAGAGGCAAGAGTGCAGGTACCTGCAGGGGACAAACAACTGATCTTACATCACACTACAGATTAACAGAACTCTAGGACATAACTAACACTGTGCCACCATAAGAATCACCAGAGTATGTACAACCGAGACAGCTGGAGCACACCCAGACACCCTGCAGCATCAGTTCCGCTGCATGTCAGGGAACAGCCGTATGAGGAGCAAGCACCGCAACAACCTACAGCTGCCAAGCCAGTGGGACATGGGACAGCGAGCAGCGACCGCGCTTCCGGCTGGGGCAGTGCCACTGAAAGGGGATCCCCACTTTTGATAAGCAGCAGGAGCAGGGAAACAATAGGTGATTTGATGAGGGCTGCTCTACGATACTCCTGAGAAGCCCCACAGCCAGCCCCGGCCAGAGAGGAAATTGGGGGTTTCCACAGCAACCTGCTCAGGGCACAAAGGCCCAACTGTCTAGGGGGAAGCAGCAGAGGTGTCCCAGCACTCCCCTAGTAAGAAGGGGGGACAGCGGTGGAGAGCTGGGGTCTTTCTGAAGCCATAGTACCTGCAAGAGCTTTTCTGAACAGCAGGAGTTTAATTGGCTATCAGTCCTAAACCCAGGGAGGAGCAGTGCTGGAGGAGGAGGAAGTAGTTACTGAAAGCTTTAGCCCAGCTAAAAGATAGGGCCTTCCCAGGTGAAAAAAAGCAGCCAGAAAAGCATGGCACTTGGCTCCCTAATCTTACTAATACAGCCCCTGACACAGAAAGGAAGAATAATGACCAAGCTGGTAGAGACAATTAAGAAAGTCTTCTCTTGGGCATGTAGGACTGAGATGAAAGAAAAGGTGGGAGGAAAACAAAAACGCATTTTACTTAAAATGTGGAGGTTTATAATTTATTTACACAAATACAAGCAAAAATAGAAACATCTCTGGAGAAGCAAAGAATCAACACAATGGCTGGAGGCTGATCAGTCTGTGATAATTAACTCATCCACACCCCAGTCTTCATAGCTCCCGTCTGGTAGGTAACGACGGATGATTATGGGGATCTTGCGTGCTCTGAAGGGAGGACAGAGAAGCAAACAGAAACATCAGAGCCTTCACTATACCACTTCAGCAGGCAATGGGAACCGAGGTGCTCAGCGGCTTCAATAAGCTCATCGGGTTTAACACAGATCTGTGCAGCACCAGTGATCTGGTGTTATAAACGGAAGTCCCAACAACTTTCTCTTTTGCAGGTGCAGAGCACTGAGCACCCTTAGGTTCTAAACAACCAAGGATCTACAGAAGGTCAGCCCTCTGTGGCTACTGCAGGAACTGAGCCCTGTAATCTGAACCCACTATGAGACAACACCAAGCATCTAGCACAGATATAGGAAAAAGAAAATCAAGTTACTTGAAGAACAAATCCACTTTTTGTTTGATGAAAGATTTATCCCCACAAGACACTACAAAAAGTGGCAGAATTCTGAGAACCTTCATCACAAACCGGTAATTACAGCGTATTTTGCACCCTGATAGCACCAGTAACATTTTAAGAAGGATACGTGAAACATGCACTACTCAGGTACCAAAACCTGGTACAGGTGGGATGGAGTACAGCATCTGCTAACAGCACTTCCAATTAGAAAGCAAGAAAAATCTACTTCCATTAAGTTAAATTGTGTTCAGCATTAAGTCAGCAGAATGTGATCAGACAATCTGGAATCTAACCAGGGCATCAGGTTACAACCGTATCAGACTTGAAAAGTAATACAACTTCTTTAATGATCACATTCAGGGCTGGTTTTTTTCCAGTAGCAAAGTTGCTCCCTCATGCCAGAAATCATAGCTGAATTTTGGCACAGAAGAGGATGCCACTATACTTTATCACACCCTGACTTACTTTCTAGAGCTCACGCTCAGTGACCAGAAGCAACTCAGTCTGAGCTTGGAGATCTGACAGGAACATGAGCTAAGGAGCTTTTGGCAATGATAAAGGGAGCTGTAATAGATATAAAATCCTCAAGAGCAACTGCAATGCACTGAGAAACTGGGAGAGCAGAGGCACAACTCAGCTCAAGAACAGGGACTTAATCAGTAACGGAGTCCAGTTGCTCTGCTTGAAGGATACCTGCATGTGATCTAGGTCACCGACCACACAGGCAAACTGTGGGACAGGAGGGAGCTCCGCTGGGGAAAGGTGGGCTGGAAAGCAGTCATCCAAAAGCTGCCTCTGCTACAGCCAGAAAGGATTTATCTATCTTTCTGAAAGCAGGGGACATGCCTCCTTGAGGTGTGCAAGGATAGGGGAAAATAATCTTCTTAACATGGTCCCCACACCACCAGCCTGACCCTTCTTTTACTTTTTTCCCAGCACTTCATTTGAACAGAGGTCTGTTCAGATGGCTGCTTCAAACCAATTCCATTCAGGGAATTAAACTGATTCCAGGAAGATGAGGACTTTGACTTCTCTTCGTAGAATCACAGAATGGTCGGGGTTGGAAGGGACCTCTGTGGGTCATCTAGTCCAACCCCCCTGCCAAAGCAGGGTCACCCAGAGCAGGCCGCACAGGACCATGTCCAGGCAGGTCTTGAATATCTCCAGAGAAGGAGACTCCACAACCTCCCTGGGCAGCCTGTTCCAGGGCTCCGTCAGCCTCAGAGGGAAGAAGTTCTTCCTCATGTCCAGATGGAACTTCCTATGCTTCAGTTTGTGCCCATTGCCCCTTGTCCTGTCACTGGGCACTACTGAAAAGAGTTTGGCCCCATCCTCCTGACACCCACCCTTGAGATATTTGTAAGCATAAAAATAGAAATAAAATAGAAATAAAGAACACTTGGACTCTGCAGTCAAAGAGGTCAGAGCACTCCCAATCATCAGTACTTTGCACAAGCAACTAGGATGGGCAAGCGCAGCTGCGGAGAAGTCCCAGGGTGAAAAGGGGGAAGGCAACTGCACTGCCCACTGCTATCGAGGGAAGACAAGGCTGTCTTGGAATAAGCTGCTAAATGCTGGGACGAGGAGAGGACTGCTGGCTTTACGGAAATCAATACGCTCACCACCAAAGTCTGGGACTTACTTGAGTTCTTTCATGGCAATCAGCAAGGGGTCTGTCTCTCCTTCCAGCTCCACCATCACCGGGGCACACATCCTGGGACAGAACACCAACAGTCATTTGAGCGAACGCAGAGAGAGGGAAGAGGGACAGCCAAGCATGTGCCTACCTATGTCACCTGGACAACGGCCAGGACAGCAGGAGGGAGGGACACCGCCTTGGCAAACCTGATTTGAGCTCTTAAGCACTTCAGGAAGAAAATGCCCCCAAATTCCCCCACAGACTGAGCTTTTACTTGAATGTTCTTCTTGCCCCAGCCCTAAGCCTCTGCTGGCCAGCTAGTGCTCAAGGGCTGGTCAGTTCCACACCCTTCTAGTCACCCTCTGGTGCGCTTCAATGTGAGAAAAACAGTGGTTCAAAAATTAATCCAACGAAGAGGGGTGGAAACACTGTAGAATGAGCATGCCTCCTACAACTCCAGCACATCTCTCACGTTCTGATTTGCTCACATCTCCCAGGCTTTGTCCAGGGGGAAGTGAGGGGCTGGATTTACGATGCACTCTGCCTCTAGGAAATAAAAAGAAAGCGTTTTGCAGAGCATCATAACAGCAGAGCAAACGTGGGTGACGGTGTCTGCCCATTAGACGGCGGCAGCAAAGAAAGCTCACGTTATGTGTGGATAAAGCCACTGGGGGCTGCTGCTGGCCCAGGTTCAGGGCGGAAGGCAGAGTGTGTACGCGAAGCAGAACCAGGCACCCGAGTGGTTTAGATTAAAGGCCTGGCACAGACCCATCTTGTCTCCCCATTTTTCTGGCCTTCCACCAGTTGAAAGAATGTTGCACAAAATAGCTCCACAGAGTGAAGACTGTGCAAAGAACAGCTTGGCAAACAGATGGTTCAGGAAAGATCTGATCACCATCTATGAGCTTCTAAACGATGTAGAGGAGAGGCATTATTTCGAGGGTGGACATAACCAAAACGAAACTCAGTGATGTGCTTTCAGACAAACCTTGCCGCAGCCTCATAATCTAGCTCATAAGGCACTTTTTCCAAAAGCACAAAAATTTTATATGTATTATTAAAACAAGTCTAGACAGGTAAATGGATGGAGAGCAGCCAGCCTAAAGAGCACTTAAAATAGTATTTAAATGGTATTACTGATTATAAATGAGGCCCCACTATTCCAAGCACTTTCAAAAACTTACAACTTGTCACAATGCAACTGCACTTGAAACATATTCAGGCTGGTTACTCCATTCCCAATTCCTGCAGCCCTGTGGTATCACCCGAAGACATTCTGGAGCATCCCTCGCTCCACCACTGGCTTTTACAAACCATTTCTGAGCTTTCCTGCCCACAACACCTCCCTTATGAAAGGCAGCAACCAGCATCAGCTCGTCGCATTCCCAACTCATTTTGCCTGCGACCCAGGAAGGTTCACTGCAGCTGCTGAACACCCCCCTCTCTAGGCACAAGCACCGCAGCCTCACCCAGGGAGAGATACACAGACATCATGTGCAGCTCAGGGCTCCATGGTCCTGCGCTTCAGGGTTGACCCAGATGGTGATCCACAAGCTCAGCGGTCACGTAAGGGGTGACAGGAGACCCACAGAATTACAGAACGGTAGGGGTTGGAAGAGACCTCTGTCATCTGGTCCAACCCCCCTGCCGAAGCAGGGTCACCTACAGCAGGCTGCACAGGACCATGTCCAGGCAGGTATTGAATATCTCCAGAGAAGGAGACTCCACAACCTCCCTGGGCAGCCTGTTCCAGGGCTCCGTCAGCCTCAGAGGGAAGAAGT